AGGTTGAGACACGATATGATGACCTGTCAGTTCATCTCTCGTCACAGCAAGAGACAGTTGTGTTCAAACAGTGTAAGCAGAACTACGGCCTCTATTGTGAACTGCAGTTACATGCGAGTGGCGGAAATCGAAAATGTGTCAGTTTGAAGAACGGGCAAACATCAGTTCTGCCAGAAACTAGGCAAATCCCCTAGCGAAACATTTGGCGTAGGAAGAATTGGCTGTTGCTACACGACAACGCCCCTGCACATCGCTCTGTTCTTGTCCAAGTGGAACTGGCAAGGCAACAGGTCACCGTTTTGCCACACCCTCCGCACTCACCTGATCTCGCACCGTGCGATTTCTTTCTCTTTCACCGCGTGAAAGCAAAGCTACGTGGTCGTAGATTTCAGTCGTCCGAGGATGTGGTCAATGCCACAAGAGGTGCCGTACAGGAATTTCGTGCCAATATGTTTCAGCAATGTTCTCTGCAGCTGTATCAACGTTGGCAGACTTGCATAGCGGCCAACGGCAACTATTTTGGGGGCCGATGTGGATCTGCGTAAGTGCATGTGAATACCTTGTAATATGATGCGATAAAACCACAGTCCACGAACTTAATGACTATACCACGTGTGTGTGTGTGTATATATATATATATATATATACACACACAAATGTGTGTGTGTGTGTGTGCGTGTGCGTGTGCGCGCGCGCCCATAACAGTATTCTGCACTTCATTTCGGCGAAATTTAATGTATACAAATTTGTCCAGCTAGGTTAATTTTTGGGTCTGTGTGGCTCTAACTTAAAGAGAACTTCATCTGTTTTCTGAGACATGGTTTCCAGTACATGCTACGTGTATGTTGACATGAGATAAAGCAGCACAGCAACTCAGCACTTTGCCCCCACAGTGCATATATTGGATACGCGGTAGAAACCGAATTATTAACCATTCTGTATAGATCCCTTCAAGGGTGGTAGAGCATATAACGTTTATTTGAAACACTTTCTTTTCTGTGCGGTTAGCATACGAGTATAAGGGATAGGACAAAATACACAGCTCAGTGTCTGTTGTTTTGTGGCTTTGCAGCTAAACGTGTCTGTCGCTGCTTTGCTGTATGAATGGAGATAATTAGGGTGGACTAACTGCCTGGAGCAAAGTCCGGCCTGAGACGCTAACAGTCACTCAGCTGGTCAAGGAATTCCCCCGGCTTCACGTCGCTCCACATCTGCACACCCAGCGTCCTTATGCTGCGCCTAGGCCTCACAGGGTGTTGGATTTGCAGCAAATATTTGATCAGTAACCTTGCCTGATAAGAAAAGTACGTAGCTTCTGGCGAGCAAGTTTCTATAGGAACCCGTTAAGCTGATAGTCGGTTTAATCTGGCAGGTGTCTCTTGTTCCGAATTGCATCGCACTGAAGGGTTCCGAAGGAAGGCAGGGCGCCCTGGGCAGGCAACGTCATGTCCGGCATGGCGAATGAGGCCCGCGCTTGAAGATGGTTTGGACACACACTGCAGTTCATCCTTCGAAGCCTGGCACTGACATTGGCTGCACTGAGGCCGGCTGTGTCACTTGGCTTGTGCGGTCTTGGCATCGAGCCCTGTCTGGGCTCTTGACCGGGCGACATGCTGAGAGATGCGTATTTCCTTTTTCTCCCCACTTTGGTACCTCCGCGTTGAAACAATGAGCCCTTACCTCACAGGAAGCACACGGACCGAGATGTGCCAGTTGATGCCGTTTAGGTGTGGTGACCCTAGTTTTAGAAGGGAGATCTGGGACATTCTTCGGGGAGAGGGAGGGGCACATTTCCGTTTTGAAATTGATCACACCCGTTCTTTCAAATTCAGAATACGAAAACTCAACGGTCTGCACTTGTATTCGGGAGGTGATCGGTTCGAATCTCGCCCGGGCCACCGCTTCCTTCCGTAACCTTAGCAGTTCACCATTCAGAAATCATCTTAGCATTCGACGCTGTATAATCTTCATGCAGCAGAAATGGGGGAGAGGAACTATGCTATAAGCCGGAAGGTTACTGGTTCTGTTCCCGATGAGGTCACTTTCAATGTACCTAATCCTTCCAGCCGCACTATGGCCCCTGGGGTCAACTCAGCCTCTAACAGAAATGAGTACCAGAAATATTCTTGGGGAGAAAGGGAGGCCGGTGCGCATAGCTGACAACCTCACCTCCATCTGTGAGCCGATTGTCTAGAAAATGTGGGAGCCTCGACGTCTCATAACTGTATGGGCCTCCATGGCCTGTTACAGGGATAGCTGTACCATTTTTGTGAGGCGAAGAGGAGTGCATATAGGATATTGGTTGGGAAGCCAGAAAGTAAGAAGACCAAGACGTAGGGGGTGGGTAATATTAAAATGGATCTCAGAGAGATCGGATGTTATGGATTGGATTGATCTAACTCAGGATAGGGACCAGCGGAGGGCTCTTGTGTACACGGTAAAGAACCTAGAACTCTGTGTTAGTAACAGGCTGTTTCAGAACACTTAGAGCCCGCGAGGACCAGGTTCGCTACAAGAGCTCAAGGATGATTAAAAAAAGCCGGGTCAGTCCGTGAATCAGCGGGTAGGATCTCGGGGCAGTAGCGGGTGGTGCATGTAGTTACCGCCGTGCTTTAAGGAGTTGATAGCTTACACAAAATGAAGGCGATCACAGAGCTGTGACGATCAATTGCAAATGAAATGAAATGACATCGTCTCGTCTGGTAGGTGGGTAGGAACGTTTTGCAGGAAGATACTGCTCCCATCTCAAGGGTACCAACATAACAACGGTTTGCCTGCCTGGCTGTGATGTGGGTGAGTTCTGTGCCCCTTACCGAATCACTGGGTACAGCAAGGTAGTGGTGAATTGGGCCAGTGAATTCAAGACACTTGATAGCTTCAGCAACAATATATTATTAAAAGTTACAAGGTGATTTGCTGAGTAATAACCCTTAATGAGACACCAATCACTTTCCCCTTTAAAGCACTGTGGTGTGTTTATGATTCCAACATTAAAGGGCGATTATTCCCCGAGCTGCGTTAACCTGTTGGTCTTTGTGTTTTCTGAGGTGGGAACTGAATGTTTAAGTAATGTTCACATTAACATCAGGTTGCCTGCAGTCGCCCTGTAGATACAATCGGAGGATATCCTGTTCGCACTTTGCGATAAGCGCCTGGTGGCCGCGTACCCGCGTTTCTGACGTGTCTCTACAGACCGGTCCCCACATTTCAAATTTCCCGTGCCGCCATCTTCACAGTAGTAGAGATAATCATATCCTGAAGACGGAGGCAGCAGATTTGTACGAAATGTCGGTGCTTATGTACCAGACGGCACAGCGTCACGTCCCAAAAGACCGTAGTCATAATGTCCAAGAGCATTTCGTATTTATACGTATAGCAGCAATATTGTGCTCCATTAATACAGGGTGATCCATTTAAAATCCGACCATAATACAGCGTAATGTACTGTATGATTCCTGAAACCGAAGCTTCACGAAGGAGACTGAGTGAGCAGAATGGCTCTACGTGTCAGGCGGCCAGGGCAGTGGAGGAATTACTTCGTCGGAGAGGATCATTTCGAAAGAACTGTGGCCACTCACATCTCCGGATCTGACCTCATTGTGGGATTTTGTTAAAAAGAACGTGAACCGAACCAGTGAATACGAGTATGTATTGAAAACTGGGAACTGCTGCGCCTGTCTCTCGGAACGTGGTCAGCAGGGCTGATCTGTGAACACTCGTATTTTCTTTGTTCACGGGTTTAAATGGTCCGGTCTCCAGATTCGAGCTGTCTGGACATTTTGCTGGAGGAGACTTGCTAATCCCGTATTGGTGCTTTGCCAAAATGTCATTCACCTGTGGGTTTACAAATAGCACCGCAAAGTAGCCTGTCTCCCGTTTTTACACTCCCAAACTTGTCCAGCGAGTTACTGAACCCAGAAAGACAAACATGGCGTACAGACGGCCAGTATCAAGTGACTTCATTGTCTTTCAGCCCTGAAATGCATCTTATTTAAAAAATACGGACGCATGGAGAAAACAGTGCCTACATTGCAGATGCCGACCTGTTTACCTTTGCTGGCCATGGTAGGGAGACCGTCATAATTGTCTGTTAGCTAACGTATGCGTTATTATTATTATATTGAGTGTGTTTTCGCGTCTTTTTAAGTTGTAAAAATGCTCGCTGGAAGGGCGGAAACTGTCGCAACCTGGTATTGTGCCTTTAACTTGCCCTAGAACTGGAGTTGTTTCTGTTTTCCGGATTTATGTGGTTTCAGATTTGTTTCTGCTCTAGTTTGTACGATATGCCGTCGAAATTTGTTTGTAGCGTATTGTCACTGATGGCGTGTATATAGTCCCGCTCCGACAGCATCAGCTGATCAATATAACAAGGTATGCGCGTGTTGTGGTTGGCCGTGGACCCTAATATTTTACCTTTCATTTCCTTAATGGTCACACAGTCATTAGTTGTCATGGGAACCAGGCGCCCGGGAATTATGCAACCCTGGAACATTAAGCCAAAACAAGAGAATGTATGGGGCAGTACTTCATTGATTAAGTGATCATTACGTGAGAACCAAGCACTCGAATGCACGCATGCCCGTTAATTTCAGCATAGCGCTAGGACATACCATACATGTAAGAGGGTCAAGGCCAAGAAGGTGTATGGGAATGTGGAGTTACAGCTCCAGTTTACGACACTGCAACTGCTAAGGGAAAAGTTGTATCTGTGCTTAATTAATCTCCATGCCATGGAGACGTATGGCTTCGGAGTGGAGGTATAGCTCCACATGTTCTTAACCTCAGCACCAGATGGAGAAGAATTGTCAGGTTCACGCCCTGGCCGCTTTAGCCCTCCGATTCCTCGCCCGTCCGGCTCGTAGCCTGGCCGCCGTACTGACGGCAGTGATCGAGCCCCGCGACGCTATATCGGTAGGTTTTGGCAAAGGAGCGAGTGAGAGAAGGGATCAGTTGGCTTGCAGCGACGGTAGCGACCCCGCGAATTCCGACCTGTCTTGCTGTCTGCAGGACGGAAGGCGAACACAGCGCGAGGTAGCGGCAGGAAGCCAGCCAGTTGGTGCTCGGGTCGCAAGGAGAGAGGAAGGAACGAGGTTTCTGCCATTGTCTAGTGGAGTGACACACGCAGGCTGTGGGAACTTCCGGTTCGCTGCATGTTGGAGTTTCCTTGAGTTTCAAGTTGTTCTGGACTTGATGTGCCTTCAGTATTAGTTGTGTTTAGTGCGTTTAACTGTTTGATGCGTTGGTAGACATTTCCTTGTTTTGGTGGGATTTCCGTGTTTGTGAAATTGTCTTTAGAGCGGTGTGTGTTCGAGGATAGGGAGTAGTGAAATATTTTAAAGTGGCGTACTGTGTATTGGTAAAGAGGTATAAAAATAGAAATTTGACGGTATTTGTGTCCCAGTAAAAGATTAGTATAGTTCCCAAGTAACGTTGGTTACAGCCTTTTCTGAAGGTCATCACTGACGTCAAATTTGCGAGGAATAACTTCACTGGTTGCCAAGAAATACTGTAGTATCCCGTCTGGTGATAACTTGAGAAGTGCCGGTGCTTAGAATGAGCTGATGATTTGTGGTGATCCTATGAGTGAAGTTTGACCATGCAAGAGAGAACACAGGGCCGAAGGGCCCAGCCGCCCATAGCAGTGGCTGCGGGGTGGTTTGCGTCTTTAAAACGGCCCATAAAACGGACTCGGGGGCGCTCCGGTTCAAATTCGTCGCTGCCTCCGTCTTCAGGGGGAATGCTGCTGGCGCGGTCAGCGTGGGACCTGTCTCAATCGCGATGGGTACTTGCTTCATAACCTGTACTCTTTCACCCGATGTTATTTCAGTGGCCACCAAGCATCCTGTCCAGAGGGTACCAGGGGAAAGCGGCCGGAGCTTGTAGCTGATCCACTCACCTCCGTCTAGTACTTAACAATGGTGGGGCTGTACCTCCACGCCCCATAGGTCTTCATGGACTGGTACTTAATTAAGTACAGCGACTTTACCTTTTACCTTTACAGAAAGTTTATTGTAGTGATCAGATCAAGGCGGATGAGATATGGCAGAAATTATAAGTGCATACAGTATGATGGTCGGAAACCCAGAAGGAAAGATATTAATATGGATATTGAATAGAATGTGAGCTGGATGACAGGGTAGGGTCCAGTCAGGCACTCTTGTTGCTGTTCCACACATACTCGTGCTCTGTGTTTTATGAATGGTGATTTTCGTCACGGCGCCGGCTGTATGTCCAATGGTGAGCTTTCACTCCCGGTTTGCCACTGCGTATAAGCCGAAGGGACAGACTGAAGGGGTAGTGTTTATTTAGCATTTGCTGACGCACTTAGAGTATTCAGGACGAACAGTTGTTTCAACGCTTTTATTTTGTTGTATCATCATTTGGTATGTTTGCCCCTTTTTAATTCCTTCGAAAGATCCGGCGCCCGGACGCTGCATAGCGAGGAGATACGTGACTGCTGGTGTTCCCGGTTCGAAATGCAGTGGACCAATGGACGGCCGGCAGCCGAGAGACTGTGCAAGAACCGTTCGGAGAAAGGATTATGCAACTACGGGAGTACAGCAATTCAATTCGTTATTGCAACACGCATTGTGGAACGTGGTGACGCGTTGCAGTGGCTCGGAAGGGCAAGTTCTTGTGGGGTTACTTACGTTACTGCCAGTATGTTGACTTTATATCGTCGAACTGTAGGGTGGTAAATTATAAATTGGAAAGGATTTGAAAGGAAACGGCCTTGTCCTAATTGAGGTACTATCCCAGTATTGGCTGGAAGTACTGAGGAAGCTCATGAAAGCCATCAGGCAGGATAACAGATGTCCCGACCGGGATTCGAAGCGAACACCTCCCGAATACAAGTCCAGAGTGCCACCGCCGAGCCAGCCCTTATTTAGAAGCTAATAGTTGCTCAGTCCCTCCCCATGTTCTCCGCCGAACTGTTCGTTGTCGTGTTCATAAGAGCGCACCCCTGGTTCTTGTTCTGACCGGCACTTATCCAGTCCGCATCCTGCGTCCTAAGTGGGCTTTTTAATATTATCCCATCTTCTAAATGTGGTCTCTTCATTTCAGGTTTCCCAACGAAATTTTGTGAACATTTTTCTCATCCCTCCATACTTGCTACAAGGCCCGCGCATCTCAGTCCTCATGACTTCATGAATGCAAATTACGCAGCTTTTTCATCCTGCCACTTATATTCCTGTATTTTCACGTGATTGAGTGGCTGTAGACGGGGTTTGGATCTCGTGACTGCAAATAACTGTGACAGTCTCGCTCAATTACTCCAAAGGTACAGAACTACAGAACACAAAGTCTTCTTAGTCTTCACATGCCATTGCCTGGTAGCGGCTTCTAGTGCTGGATGTTCCCCCTTCCTCAGGGTTTCCGAACTTTCCCCGGCCTCAGCCACCAGCTCCTTCACTCTTCACTACTGCGTTGTAGTCACATTGCGACTGACGGTCAGTCAGGAAGTCTTGGTGTCGAGCCCCATTTGGAGCTCATAACCAGGTATTTATTACTGTTTGACAGTTACGGTCTTGTTTTTGTGGGGCGTCTTGTGTATATGCTGCTGGTGCTTGCCAGCGCAGTCTTTCTCGGGTCCGAATCCCCCGGGACTCGCGATCATATTTTATTGTCTCAGATCCGAGACTTCCCTTTTCGTCGCCTCCTACGACTCGCAGGGTCACGGTGGAGGTATTCTACCCCGCCTCCACACGGGGTTTCATGGTATTACTATATAGTCTTCCCGTTATATGGCCCCGGTACGGACCGCAAAGAAAACTTGTCTTCCAATATTCATTGTTCTCTCGTTGCCGGGGAAACAGCGTGCCCACAGCTGTTCCCTAGCAACGGGTGTTGTACCCTCTCCTGTTCACACAGCAGTGAACTTGGCAATGTGTCTACATGTCACAGTATTCACTCCGCCCCCACAACTGTGTGATCTGATATCTGAGATGGAAGTAGCTGGTTTTACCGACAGGACTTTGGGCCCGCCGTGGCCACAGTTTTATTTGTGGGCCGCAAGGCTGTACAATCTAAATTTAACCACATTTTACATAGTACATCAAGTTATACGGTTTGCATCTGGAATGGATCCAGCAACTTGTATATGGCGCACCAGTATATATTGATTGATCAGTTTTGTAACTATAAGGTATTTACGACGGAAGAATACGCAAGGGTTTCACGCCAATTGACTGAAATTGTAATCTCACTCTCTTACGTTTGCGTGTTCTTGTATCTGCTGTAGTGGCTCTACGGGAACCGTGTTATGACTAAGCGCCTTTATTTGTTTGCTTTTTTCAAACATCAGCCCTTCAAGAGCTCAGCAATTTCAATAAACATGGCCGCTATCCTGGACGCTATCTATATCTTTTTAAGTCTTTTCACCCGCAACTTTCGGAAGGTTCATCTGCTTGCGTCATCAGGTGTGTGCGGGGACAGGTTGCAGCTCTGTTGTGCCCCTTGTAAGGAGGTTAAGTGATGGAGATAACCTCCCGAAGCTAAGTAGGAACAATGCCCCCTACACCTGATGCTGGAAGCAGCTTCATTGTCCGAAACGTCGCATTTATAGAAACCAAATGTGATGGACAATGTCCGTAATAATGGTCACGCCTACAGTTAACACACAGTCGTCAGAAATAACTGCACTCAGCTGTGGTCACTGGTATGCACACCGCCTGCTCGTAATGTTCATAATCTGTTTTGTACGTGTTTCATATGAATCCGAAGAACAGCAGCCTCATCCCGTGGGTTCATTGCAGGTTTGTCGTCCGGTGCTAAATGGGCTGAACCTTCAGCAGCTTCCGAGGTTAAAGTGAATGGAGGCGTTGTCACGTGTGAGTGTGTGCGACTGTAGATGGAATTTCGGTTAGTGATGCACACGGCTCGGAACTACAACTGTTCAAGCAGTTACAGCGCCGCCTCTAATCTCCACAATTCACAAATCACCACAGCATCCACTGAGCCTTTTCCCGCCTTCTGTGTTTTCACAATCCGTTCCCCGGCAACGGCTTTGACAGTGGAGATTTTTAGCGTAATGTGCTCAGGTTCTATTTTCACAGCCTCCCGTGCAGAACTGCCTGAACTGTCACCCATAATCAAAGTCAAAGTCACATTGCAACTGGCGGTCGGTCAGTCTTCGACCACATACACATAGAAAACACCCCGTTTCCAACAGTAATTAATTAATTCGCTTAGTAAGGGGTGGAGTCCAGCTGGGTCCACTCGGCATGGCGGCCATTGATTGGCTTATTGTAGCCTGCCTCCGGGTGATTATGATGATGGAGAATTTGGTGGAATGAAGATTGGCAAGGGAAACCGAAGTACCCGAAGAAAACCCGCCGCAGCGCCACTTTGTCCACCACAAATCCCACTTGACGAGACCCGGGATCGAACCCGGGCCGCCGCGACTAACCGCTTGAGCTATGGCGCGGCCATTCCAACAGTAACCCAGTTGTTGTATGCGTATTCGTTGCCGAGGGAACGTCTTTACAGAGTCACTGCTTAGGAACGGGTCTGTACGCCACAATACGGTGCCTAGTTAATGACAAAAAAGCGACAATGATATTTCATTTATAAATTGGTGTGCCCTAAAGAGAACGTTGCTTTAGAATCGACTCCAACCCAGAGCCTGCCTTCAGACCGCGCGTTGTGACTGAGTCGAGTGGGATCCTCCACCGTCAGCGGTTTACATGCGTTTTCCGAGAGGTCCTTGCCACAGTGACTGTCACGAGGACACTCGCCTCCATCTTCAGAGCAGAAGAGTAGGCCTGGTTGGCGCTCCAGTGGTTCAGTCAGCCGCACGCCTTACGACACCTTACCCATGTCAGTCACTGTTTATCCTACCCTGTAGATGGAAGCAGGAGGTTACTGCGAAACGAGACCGCATGGAGCCTCGTGGCATTTGGGCTGAACGCCGTCAGCAGGGTAGTGTGCGCTGCTGCCCCCAGTAATGCAGACGCCTATTGGAAAGGCAGTCACGTGATGAGATTTCATTATTTCACGTGGAATGACATCAGCGCCGGCACTGAGCTGTTGCGTTTCCCTGCAGAGGTGTTTGTGTGCTCTGGAGTTACGCGATACGCCTTGTAAACAAAGGTGGAATTATGACGTAAGCCGCTGTGTGCACCTTCTGTTGGTCTACGTGTGGGCCGCGTGGATACAGATAGCGAAGATACCGGTTGGTGGTGGGCAGTGAGTGTGACGGAGAATTAGTACTACACGTAGCCAGAGCGTGCAGCGTTCTATCGTCGCACTGTGTTCTAGTAATCTCACGCAGCGTTATTACGATTTTATTGAGTAGACAGATGAGCTATGGCTGTGTGTGACCTGTTTCTATTTAAATATATTGACCGTAACTTCAGCTTCAGAATGTTTTCGCGTGCAGAATTGAGTTCCGGAAGAAATTAGCACAGGATATCCCGTCTTCTGGCGTTGCCTCGGAACTCTGATATGTCTTATCGTTTGAATTCACATTTCTTCCGGTGCACGGGATGGAACTTCGGTTCAGACGAATGGACACGTACACACGTACAGGACTCTCTCGTCTTCATTACAGCAATACAACGGATCAGTAAATTGGCATGGCAGTTTCCGAATAGAGTGACTGGGTACTGCTGTAACAATGTTTTTGTAACACGACCTGTGACGTCATGCACATGAGAATAAGTACCGACGGGGTCAATGCCATGGATGCCCAGAACATTGGTAGCTCCTTGGCCGGTCCGGGAGCTTGGTTCACTTCCGTACTGCGGATGTCACCTACAAACAGTGCCGAAATTTGGTATG